AAAAGAGAGAGATACATCCAAGAAGGACTCCGTATGAAAGAGAATGCTCGAGGCTTCACCTAAGCAGATGTTAGAGGCATGGGGATGAGAAAGGAGATGAGGCGATGTCGGGGATGAGAAAAGATTGAAGTGCAACAAAAATTGGAGTGCTATGCGGAAGCTCGAACTAGCTAGAAGCCATTCAACAGAGAGATGGTGTGGCCAACGTCAGTCCAAGTGGGAACGACTTAGTCATAGCAGTGTGTGTCACGAGCGCTGAGACGACCGGGCCGGTCGTGATGGCGCCTATCGTAAAAACTAGGCCAGGCGACACATTCCAAGTTCAACCATCTATATAAAAGTCATTCTTTATTAAAGAAACCTTAAAAATATAATCTAAATAGTCATGCGGAAACATAACACAAGCCCGACATCAGGAGTGTCATCAAGTTCCATGAGCATCTACTAAACCATATGCCTTGACAAATAAGACCAACATGGCCGCGGGAAAATCACGAATACAACTAAAGGAAGAATGTAGATGGGAGGAGAGAGGCGGCGTGAAGCGGCAGCAGAGCTAGCTCTTGGCGTAAGTGCCGATGAAACGCTGCCGACTTGAGATAATGCACACCCCTAGCCCTTAGGGGGTTCAGAAACACCTGAAGGTGCGCACACAAGGTGCAGGGAGTAAATGTGAGCTGGACGCCACATCAAGGTGAAGTAATGGGGGAGAGAGTAGATGAGAGACTGAGCAATAAGAGAAGACACATGACATCCACTCATAAACACTTCATCACAAAAGTAACGGTAACTGTCAAAAGTACAGTATGAAATCAACATCATTTCGTAAAAAATTAGTTTTCGGTGGAAATCATTGGAGAGTGGTAAGAACTCCCACTTAAAACATCTTTCAGAGGTTTCAAAACAAGTGGTGAAAACAGTGAGTAAAAAATGGTGAATAACATAGTTGGTCCCCTCGGGCAAAAAACTCACTCGTATACAGCTCTCGGGCACGTAAATCAATAAATCCCTAAATGCCCAACCCATAGTCGTGAGCGCCTCTCGTGAAGACCAAGGCCAGCCAACTAAACCCAATTTACCTTTTTAAGCAGTTAAACATCATAAAACAGTCTAAACATGTATTTGTATAAGGCATTAAGTAGCGAATAATGTCGATAAAGTGCGGAAACATAACCCAACACCAGCCCTACTGGGGTGTCAAAGTCACGAGCATCTAACAAACACTGAATACTCAAATGAAAGTACACGAGTTTATACTGAACTAAGAATATAAAAGGAAATAGATAGGGAGGAACATCCGGGCTGCGAACGCCAAACAACTACCTAAAGACTCTCGAAGAACCGCCTGAAGCTGGAATGAATCAGCACCAGCTACGCCTGAATCTGCACACAGGGTGCAAGGAGTAAAGTGAGTACTCCAGCTCAGTGAGTAACAAATGTAAATAATGACTGAAAGTAAGAAAAACACTAAAGGCACAAGGCATTCTATAAAAATGAGCACGTAAAACCAGTTAAAAACAGTAAAACACAGTAAAATCAAGTGAAATCCTTTCAACAATAAACAGGTAACTACAGATAATTAAGGTACAATAAATAAATAGAAGCTCGCCCCTCAGGCACAGTATCACACAACATCCGCCCCGTCGGGCAACATCTCAGAATAATAACAGCCCCTCGGGCTCAATCTCACATCACACTGGGTACTTCGCTCACTGGGGGTGTGCAGACTCCTGAAGGGCCCCTTACGGCCAAGCGCAATAACAAGCCATCTCGGGGCATCAAAAACTAGGCCCTCGGCTCATATCAATCAAGCCACCAGTGTGCGTACATATCTCAGGCCCCTCGGCCTCCAAATCAGTATCAGTGTTTCCTCACAACATAGGCCTCGGCCTTACTGCAGTCAAGAAAATACTCACAAGCCCCTCGGGCAATAGTAAAAACAGTGTTTCTTACCAACAAAAAATCATTAAAATATCTTTAAGTCTCAAAACTGAGTAAGAAAGGCTGAGTAGTAAAATAATGGAAAATAACATGACTGAGTTCAAGTGTAAGTCAAATCAGTGAGGAAATATCAATAAAAAGCCCCGAAGGGTTCAAATAGTGGCATTCAGCCCAAAATGGCATTCAGCCCAAATCATAGTGATAGCAAAATAAGTTTTAGTCAAATACGCGGTAAAATCATCAACCGGGACGACAAGTCACAATCCATAGTGTACGACCCCACGCTCGTCAACAAAGCGTGTGTCTCACCTTAACATAGCAATTACGATGTGCATCCGGGGTTTCAAACCCTAGGACATCATTTAAATATCATTACTCACCTCGAACCGGCTAAATCTCTACCTTGCGACGCCTTTGCCCCTCGAATCGGCCTCCACGTGCGTCGAATCTATCCAAAAATCAGAACGAGGGTATTAAAATATGCTAAGGGAACAAAAGCCCAAGCAAATAATCGAAAATACAAAAAAATCCAAAATTAGCAAACCCGAGCCCTGGGCCCAACTTCTCGAAACTCAGAATTTTTTACCCCAACGGATTCCTTATCTCCCCACGAGTTCATACATATCAAAATTACTAAAATTGGAGTCCAAATGACCCCTCAAATCCCCATTTAAAGGCTTTTCTAAACCCAAGCCCTAATCCTCCATTTTTAGTCCTTTAATTCCTTTAATTTCAGTCTTAATTCCATGAAATATTACCATAGAAGTGTGTTTTTGGTCCAAAATTCCTTACCTTAACGAACTCTCTTGATTTCTCTCTTCAGAATCGCCCAAAAAGCTCCAAGGTCGAAAGCAACAATGGTGAAATAACCCAAAATCGCGAAAATGAAATAACATATATGGTCTGCCCAGGCCTTTCCACATCTGCGGTCAAAAATGCTGTCTGCGTACCGCATTTGCGGTCTAACCAACCGCTTCTGCGGAATTCACTTAAGGACTAGAACCGCATCGGCGGTGCACTCGCCGCATTTGCGCTCTGCAGGGTACATGCCCTCTATCGCATCTGCAGTTCTCAGAGATTTCTTCTCAAAACCGCTTCTGCGGTTTCCCGCAATGCGACACCGCACCTGCGGCCCTAAACCGCAGGTGCGAAAAACACCAGAAGCAGCAAATTTTCTGCAATCTCTCAAGTCCCAAATCTTCCCGTTAACCATCCGAATTCACCCCGAGGCCCCCGGGACCTCAACCAAAAGCACCAACACATCCTAAAACTTTATTCAAACTTGTTCCAATCCTCAAAACACCTCAAACAACATCAAATCACCAGAAACACATTGAATTCAAGCCTAAGTTCCTAAAATCTTCCAAATACGCTTTTGATCAAAAACCCAACTAAACCTCGTCCGAATGACCTGAAATTTTTGCACACACATCCCATATCACATAACGAAGCTACTGCAACTCTCGGAATTCCATTCCGACCCTTATATCAAAATCTCGCCTATCCACCAAGAAATCGCCAAAATATCAACTTTGCCAATTCAAGCCTAAATCTACTCCGGACCTCCAAAACCCATTCCGATCACACTCCTAAGTCATATATCACCTCCCGAAGCTAACCGAACCATCGGAACTCACATCCGAGCCCTCTAACACATAAGTCAACATACGATTGATTTTTCCAACTTAAGCCTTCTTAAAAGAGACTAAGTGCCTCAAACTTCACCAAAGCCAATCCAGATTCAATCCATCCAACCCGATACCTAAAAACACAGATGAACAAAGCAATAAGAAGTAGAAATGGGAAAACGGAGCGGTAACTCATGAGACGACCGGCCGGGTCTCACATCCTCCCCAACTTAAACAAATGTTCGTCCCTCGAACGAGTCAAGAAACATAACCTGAAGCCTCAAACAGGTGAGGATATCTGCTCCGCACTCCCGCTCGATCTCCCAGGTGGCCTCCTCCACGGGCTGACCTCTCCACTGCACCTTCATCGAAGCTATATCTTTTGATCTCAACTTCCAAACTTGACGCTCCAGAATAGCTGCTGGCTCTACATCATAAGTTCAAATCACCCTCCAATTGAACCGTGCTGAAATCCAGAACATGAGACGGATCTCCAATGTACTACGGAGCATAGAAACATGGAACACTGGGTGCACACTCGACAAGTGGGTGCAAGGCAAGCTCATAAGCCACCTCTCCAATCCTCCGAGTACCTCAAAAGGCCTAATGAATCGCGGACTCAACTTCCCTTTCTTTCCAAATCTCATAACACCTTTTGTGGCGAGACCTTCAACAGAACCTTCTCCTCACCGACCAGAAGGACAACATCTCGAACCTTCCTATCAGCATATACTCTTTTGCCTCGACTGTGCTGTACGAAGTCTCTTCCTGAATCACCTTCACTTTATCTAAAGATCCCTGAACCAAATTTGGCCCAATAGCCTACTTCACCGGGGCTCGAACCAACCAAACTGGAGATCTACAGTGCCTCCCGTACAAAGCCTCATATAGAGCCATCTGAATACTCGACTGGTAGCTGTTGTTGTAAGAAAACTCTGCAAGCGGTAGAAACTGATCCCATGACCCTCCGAGATCAATAACACAAGCGCATAACATATCCTCCAATATCTAATAGTGCGCTCGACTGCCCGTCCGTCTGAGGGTGAAAAGCTGTGCTCAACTCAACCTGAGTACCCAATTCCTGCTGAAACAGACTTCCAAAACTAGAAAGTAAACTGAGTGTCCCGGATCTGAAATGATGGAAAACTGGGACACCATGCAACTGAAACAATCTCCCGAATAATATCTCTGCTAACCGCTCGAAAATAAGTGTACAGATAGGAATGAAGTGCGTGGACTTGGTCAGGTCCGATCCACCAATCACCCAAATAGCATCGAACTTCTTCAAAGTCCGTGGAAGCCCAACTACAAAAGTCCATAGTGATCCGCTCCACTTCTACTCGGGAATAACCAATCCGCATGAAGCAGGCCACCGTCTCTGATGCTCATATTTCACCTGCTGACAATTGAGACATCGAGCTACAAACCCGCCACAATATCTTTCTTCATTCTCCGCCACCAGTAATGCTGTCTAAGATCCCTGATACATCTTCGTGCTCCGATGAATAGAAATACTGCGAGCTATGGGCTCCTCCAGAATTAACTCCCAAAGCCCATTCATGTTGGGCACACCAAATCCGGCCCTGCATCCTCAATACCCCATCATCTCCAATAGACACATCTCTGCATCATCATGCTGAACTCTGTCCCCTAAGAACAAGCAAGTGTGGATTATCATACTGACGCTCTCTGATGCGCTCATATAGGGAAGACCGAGAAATCACACAAGACAATACCCGACTTGGGCCTCCGAAATATCCAACCTCACGAACCGATTGGCCAAGGTCTGAACATCAACCGCAAGAGGTCTCTCCCTAAATGGGATATATGCCAAACTCCCTAGTCATACTCACTGCTTTCGGCTCAAAGCATCGGCCACCAACATGGCCTTTCCCGGATGTACAATATAGTGATGTCATAATCCTTAAGTAACTCCAACCTCTCCGCTTACCTCAAATTAAGATCCTTTTGCTTGAACAAATCTGAAGACTGCGAATGATCAGTGAATACCTTACAAGAATACGCCATACAAGTAAATGCCTCCAAATCTTCAACGCGTGAACTATGGCACCAACTACAAATCATGAACAGGGTAGTTCTTCTCAATAGGGCCTTCAACTGAAGAGAAGCATAAGCAATAACTCTCCCTCCTGGCATCAACACACAACCAATCCGCTACTCTCGAAGCATCACAATAACATGGTATACTGAACCTGAAGTGATGGAAAAACCAACACTGGAGCTGTGGTCAAAGCTGTCTTGAGCTTCTAAAAGCTCTCCTCACACTCGTCCCACCATACAATTGAAACACCTTCTGAGTCAACTTTGGTCAAGGGCGATGCGATAGATGAGAATCCATGAACAAACCGGCGATAATAGCCTGCCAAACCAAGAAAACTACGAAAATCTCTGTGGCTGAGGACGGTCTTGGGCGAAACTCTGCCCCATCTTCTTGATGCAGAAATGGAGCTTGGAACTAGATTATTGTGCTCCACATGAGCCAGAATGTGCTTCCTCCATCGCTTGGTGGGCTTCTTCTTTGTCAAGACATCTCAAGAATAGTCCTTCAAAAGATCGGTGAAACAATGTCCCCTTATAGAAGATGAATCGTGGTACTCTTCGTTTGATGTCTGTTCTTTGTCACGGATCTTCAGGTAACTTTCCATGTTCAAGGTACTCTATCAGTGGTTGCCTCCAATCTTCTTCTTCAATCACTCGAACAGAATTGGCTTACGTTGATTTGAAGATCCAGAAGTCTAGGAATAACCCATCGATGACACACATATACGTTTGTTGATGCATTCTCTCCAAGTGCCATCGTCGTGGACAAGTTAGCCAAAGCATCAGCCTCGTGATTTTTTTCTCTTGGGACGTGGTTTAAGAACACTTGGTCGAAATTTTCAAGTAAACAAGAAGCATATTGATGATATGGCAATAGATCTTCCTTCTTTACCTCGTAACTCCCCAAAAGTTGATTGATGATCAGCTTAGAGTCGTCGTAGATCTCCAACTGTAGAATCTTCATTTCTAATGCTATTTCGAATCGACGATCAAGTTTGGTACTCTGCGGCATTGTTGGAGCATGTTTCACCTAAAACAAAGGAGAATGGAAAGACTTGTCTTTCTGAAGAGATCAACACAACACCTGCCCCCGCACCGTTACGACGTGCAGATCCATCAAAGAACATTGTCCATGGTGGCAATTCTTTGATGAACAAAACGTCTTCATCTTGAAACTCACCCGAAAGCTCCCATTCCGCTGGAAGAGAGTGATAAGCCAGAAAATTGTCTAGTGCTTGTCCTTTCACATCTTTTTGAGGTGTGTATGTGATCTCATATTGGTTAAACAATATGGACCATCTTGCTAGGCATCCAGAAAGAACAAGTTGAGTCATTACAAACTTTACGGGATCTGCTCGAGAGATGAGTTTGATGGTGTATGCTTCAAAATAATGCCTTAGCTTCTTTATTGCGTAAAGTAACGCTAACCATATTTTCTCAACAGGCGCATAGTTCAACTCAGCTCCTATCAGAGTTCGACTAAGGTAGTACAAGGCTTGTTCCTTTCCTTCCTCATTCTCTTGAGCAAGTAGTGCTCCAAGTGAACGTTCATGTGCCGCAATGTAGAGTATCAATGGCTTCCCAAGCATTGGCGCCCCTAACACAGGTGGATTCAGCAAGTATGTTTTAATGCTTTCAAAAGCATTTTGACATGACTAATCCCAATGAAAAGGGATATCCTTCCTCAATAGATGATTGAAGGGTTGACATCGTCCGGATAGATTAGAGATGAACCTCCAGATGAATGCTAAGTTTCCTTGGAGACTTCGAAGTTCCCTCAAGTTCTTTGCTTGGGCATTTTCTGAATGGCGTTAATCTTTGCAAGATCAACTTCAATTCCACGATGACGCACAATTAAGCTAAGAAACTTTCCTGAGGTAACTCCAAATGCACTTGAGTGGATTCATCTTCAGGTCGAATTTTCTTAACCTTTCAAAAACAATTCTAAGGTCTTCAAGGTGGTAAAGCCTACTCTTCGTCTTCACCACCAAGTCATCGACGTAGCATTTAACCCTGCTATGAAGCATGTCGTCAAAATATTTTGCATCGCGCGTTGGTAGGTGGCACCAGCATTCTTCAGACCGAAGGGCATCACTTTGTAGCAATATATCCCTTTTAGAGATCGGAAAGCAGTACACTCTTCATCTTTTGGAGACATTCTGATTTGATTGTATTCGGAGGACCCATCCATGAATGACATAGCTTCATGCCCTGTTGTAGCATCAAACATGAGTTCAATAATTGGTAGCGGGAAGTCATCTTTTAGACATGCCTTGTTTAGGTCTCGAAAGTCAACACAAACACGTATTTGACCATTCTTCTTCTTGACAGATACAATATTCGATATCCATGATAGGTACTTCACCTCTCGAATAAATCCGCCAAGATGAGCTTTTTGACTTCGACTTCAATTTGTGATACAAGCTCGGGTTGAAACATGCGTTGTGACTGCTTCATAGGGAGTGCTCCACTTTTGATCCCTAAATGATGAATAGCTACCTTAGGACTAAGACCGGGCATTTCTTTATACGACTATGCGAAGACATCTTTGTACTCGGTCAATAACTTGGAGTATTCCTCCTCTTTCTGAGGCGTAAGAAGCGCACTAATGAAGGTGAGCCTAAATTGAGTTCCTTAAGCTCATCCACAGTTGATTGCCCGCCAACTTCTAGTTGAGGGGGAGCCTCATGTACTCCATCATCAACATTAAGGCATGGGCTATCTTCCATAGTTTTGTGATAAGATGTTTCCACAAAGTCTGACTTTCTCTTTGACTTCCTTGGATGGTCGACATGGCTTCTTTCTCTTTCTTTGCTTCTTTACGAGGCTGGCAAGTGTAAACAATGGTTCTCCTTCACACCTTCAGTGGACCATCTGTGGATATTGACAAAATAGACTTCTTCTTCATACGTGATGGGAAAGCACTACAGATTTCTTTGTCAGCAACAACTTCAAAATGATCCCGCCCCTCATGGACGTGATCCTTATGTTTTTCTAGTATCTTTCTGGATGGTGACTTACTTGTGGTTCCCAAGAGACAAAAGATGGAGGTCTTTGAGGTAGTGGAAACTTCCTTTAGATGATTGGAAGATACACGTTCACCTTTGTGACTTAGCCTTTCAAACACCGAGACCCGAGGGGTTGAGCCTCCAATGCGATCAAACACTGACGTACGTTGTTTTATTTTCTTGCCCTTAACTTCCTTCATCTCATCTACCGAGGTGTATTATGATGAAGCTCTCTCTTTGCTTCTCTTAGATGAAATTCGAAGAGGCTCTACCAAACTGAATCCCAACCCAAACTTTGGAGCGGCGACGTAGTGCATGCTTTCTCAACTTTAGTTGGGACTCATTGAGCCCATGTATCTTTTCACCAGTGACTTCCTCTTTGAGTTCTCTAGTCTTGATGGATTGGAGAAGTCGTAACCAGATTTATCAAGCAGTATGAAAGCCTTAGGATCAAAGTGCCCTTTTATTTTATTAGCTTGGAGATTGCCTTTAGCAGACTCACAATTCATGGATGGGATTTGTGCAACTGTGACAGTCATATGCTCCTTCAAATCTTGTATCGCTATGTGACTCATTTTCTTCTTTGCAGTACATTCTTCTTGCAAAGGTTGTCCTTTCTTTCGGTGTTCACGTGGAACATAGCGAAAAACTAGATGCTCCTTATCAGTCTTTGTTTGTATGTCACCTTCAGATGATGATAGTTTAATGGAGACTTCTACAGTTCTCTTCTTAGACAGCTTGGCGGTAGTCCATTGAGCCTCATTTTCTTCTTTTGAATTGACACCAGCTTCGTCGACTGATGATGGTTTCTCCACTTTCGGTTCATAAGAATCTTGGTAGAATTTTGCGTCTGTAAAATATGACTCCATCTCAGTGAAAGTCTTGATGTTTGCATCAATTTTGACTATCTCTCCATCTCTTCTGTACTTCAGAGATTGATTCAAAGTAGATGATACCACCCCATTCTCATGAATCCAAGGATGTCCAAACAATAAGTTGTATGATGATTTAGCATCTATGACGTGAATCAGGGTGTTTGACTTCATCTCACCAATGGATAATCCTACGCGGATCACACCTATGGCTCGTTGTCCTCCTTGGTTGAAACCTTGGATTGTTAGGTTACTTTTGGATAGCTCATCGATAGAGATCCCAAGCTTTTTTAGCACCATGTTTGGCATGATGTTGACACCCGAACCATCATCAACAAGTATGCGATTGAGATGTTGTTCCGGAATGGCCCCTACAATGAAAAAAGGTCTGTTGTGTGGCCTAGACCCCAACAGCAAGTCATCATCTGTGAAGGAAATTGTTGCGCAACACGTGACAATTTTACCCTTATCATGATGTTCTTGTGTTTTCATTGGAGCAAGCTCATCGTTGCTTTCCTTTGTTTCATCGGTACTAAAAACTACATGAGTTGCACCAACGTGACCTCCATGAAGGAATTTTCTAGGAAAGAATTCATGCAATGTGATCGGATTTCGGAACTTTGGTGATAAGGCACCGTTAATCTTTTTGCTAATAGAAGATTTGACAATTCTTGGTGGTTGTAGCTTATCCACATCGCTTATTTTTGCTCTTGTGTTAGGAAGTTGTAGCCTCAAAACTGCTTGATGTTTTTGTTTCTTGTGAGTGACTAAAGTCCAACCCTCATCGTCTTTGTCTTTGGACTAGGTGTCCAGCTCTAGTGGACCTTCAAGAGTTTTCTTTGGAAGATCAACTTCAACGGGCTCGAAACTTCCGAATTGTGAGACGGAGATGCTTGATGCGTTCTGCAACCTCGAACACTTCTTTTCTTTGAGCGCGATACTTGTATGATTTGCTTCTACTGTTTCATCCATGTCTATGATGATTTTTCCTTCACTTACAAGAGCCATGATTTTCTCCTTCAAGACGAAGTATTTCTCTGTAGGGCGGCTAATGACGCGATGAAACTTGCAGTATTTCGGATCGCCAACTTTGCCAATTTCCTCTGGCTTTTTTGATTCAGGGAGATCGATGACTTTCTTGTCTAGCAGTTCATCAAGGATTGTGGGTACGTCTGAATCTAGAAATGGATAAACCTTCGGCTCTAATTCCTTCAAGGTGGGACGACGCTTCTCCTCATTGGGATATTGACTCGGGGTCTTATCCTCCTTCACTTTTTGCTTAGTAGTGACCTTCACAGAAGTTTCTTTCACCGCCATTGATTCTTTGGTTTGGTTCTTTGATGCAACATTTTTCTTGAACTCCTTCTGATCAGCAAATGGAGATGCCTTTCCATGACTTCCGATGCTTAACTCCATGTCGTGCGCTCGTGTTGCAAGTTCTTCAAAAGTTCGCGGTTTGATCCCTTGTAGGATGTACAAAAGGCCCTAGTGCATTCCTTGAATGCACATCTCCACAGCAGATATTTTTGAAAGGCAATCTATGCAGTCCAAACTTAATGCTCTCCAACAATTAATGTAATCCACCACGGGCTCGTTCTTCCTTTGCTTGGTGCTTGTCAACTCTATCATGCTTACAGTTCTTCGGATACTGTAAAAACGATTGAGAAATTCCTTCTCAAGTTGCTCCCAGCTATCAATGGACTCGAGTTCCACGTCAACATACCAGTCAAATGCATTCCCTTTCAGAGAACGAACAAATTGTTTTACCAAAAGATCACCATGGTTCCCGCATTGCTACAAGTTTCGACAAAGTGGGCAATATGTTGCCTTGGGTCCCCTTTGCCATCAAATTGATACAACTTTGGTGGTTGATAATTGGTTGGCATGGTTAAACAATCAATCCTCTTAATATAAGGCTTAGAGTAGTACAACGAACTTTGCGATGGTCCTCCATATTGAGCTCTGATGGTGTTTGTTATCATGTCTTGCAATTGTTGGACAGATAAAACCGCAATTGAAGTGGATTGCTTTTCCTTTTGAATGTTGAACTTTGCAAACGATTCCTCAACAGCTGTTTTTTTGGGAGGTGAAGACAGGTGAACGAGGAGGGACATGGCTCGACTCTCCAGGTGCATAGTCCTCCATATTGTTCATGAGTTGAGCAATTTGAAGGTCTTTGTCTTCAATAGATTTCTTCAAGACCTCTATAGTTTGTTCCATCATGGCGAACTTTTTGTCCTCATGAGTTGCGCCAGTCATCAAGGCATTGACTTTCGTTGAAACTGAAGAATCCACCAAATACTCAAATCCACCAAGGTTTGAGAGTCGTTTGAGAAAGTTCGTCAAACAGAGAGAATGGGGTGTTGCCCCCAGAGATTGTGGTTGCGAACGTCATATGAGATCTGCTCTTCTTTGCCATCTCCAAGGAGGTGAAGTATTCGGATCCATCCAAGCCACTAGCCTTGAACTTGCTTCGAGTTATTGGGCCAACATGACTGAGCTAAGCGGATGCGGCAACAATAGCATCTTTGCATGAAACATCACACTTGCGGAAGGCCATTGTAGTAGTAGATCTCAAGTTTGTAGTTTTCAACTTGCAATAAGGAGAGATAAAGGGAAGAATTGGTCCCACTGGGCGTGCCAAAATTCGTTCCCAACAAATTTTTGTAGTACGAAAAATAAACTGCAACAAAAATAATATAAAAAAAG